GAATCACATTTGAAACAAAAAACAGAATCACATTTGAAACAAAAAACAGAATCACATTTGAAAAAAAACGGAATCACATTTGAAAAAATGGAATCCCATAAAAAAAAAAACGGAATTAAATTAAGTCAAACTGGAAATGGTGTTTTTGTGTGTGTGTATGTATGTGTTTGCGTGTTTTTTGTTTTTTTACTTCATTAACAACATACAACAGAACAATGTACAGTACTCACACAACGGAGGTACAGTTAGCAGGCTAACCTTTAGCCTGTAGAAATAGAGAGCTATGTTTTGTTCAAACTGTAATCCTAATCCTGCAGAGTTTTTCCAGCGTCATATCTTCTTTAAGCTTGAACAAAACATAGCTCTCTATTTCTACAGGCTAAAGGCTAGCCTGCTAATTGTACCTCCGTTGTGTGTGTACTGTACATTGTTCTGTTGTACATTGCTAATAAAGTTTTTTTAAAAACACACACACAACAAAAAGCATCACTTCCGGTTTGGCTTAATGTGATTCTGTTTTTTCAAATGTTGTGTTTTTGTTATTTATGTTGAGTTTTTTCAAATGCTGTTCATTTCCACCTTAGGGCCACCGTATGGAAGTCCTCCTCGCATGTTCTGAGCATTAACACGTCTCACAAGATTTGACAAAGTTACACGACAAAGCAGAGGCCTTCTCAGCATAAAGTCAGGCATTGGAGGCGGCGGGTGACATGCATTCCTTCAAGTCTTTATTTAAATGAAGAATTCAAAGGGTGATGTAGAAAATGGAGAGAAAATCCCCTCTTTTATGGCCGTCCCATCACCAGACGTAGATGATTAACATTTATAGGCACATTATTTATGTTGAGATAAGGACAGTTAAAGTCATTGTGCTAATAAACCTCCACTCTGGCTTGTTCTCCGCACAACGGCTCTCTGCGCCCAGACTCGCAGGTTTTTATGGTTTTTACAAGACGGCCAGCGCAAATCTGGGTTAAAGCTCTGGAAGTTTACCACGTTGACGCTTTAATGATTAAAAAGTGCAATGAGTCCGCTTCATGTTTAAAATTGTAAACAGTGTGAAAAAGTTTATACGATAATCTCTTGTGTAGTTTGTTCTAATGTAAGGGAGTTTTATGGTTTTAATCGTCCTCTTTTTTTATGTTTTTATGCTCTTTGGAATCTTTTCAGGATAATAAACGTTTTGAAATTTCATATATTTAAAGAGACAAACATTTTATTTAATTGTGTGGATGTTTCTGAATCATTCTCATCATCAGATCCATTTTTGTTTCAGCTCGCTCCTCGTTTTTTGTTCTGTTTCAACGATTCATGTATCGAAATGTTCGACTCGTTCGGGACATTCCTGCTGGGACTTTTGACATTTGAACAATTTCTACCTTTTGAAATATTTAGCTTTTTCCACCATGTTTTTCTCATTAAAAACAAATGGAGCTCTGCATCCTGTGAGCTGTTTACAACATTTTACTGCTCATTTCAGCTTTTGTTCTGGTTCAGCTGTTTTCAGCTTCTTATTGGCTAATTTCAGCTTTTTTTTGTCTAGATTCCTTCTGTTGTTTTAAGATTTTTAGGCTTCTTTCAGCTTCCTCCTGAAAAAAAATTCAGCCTTTTTCTGCCTTTTCAGCTACTTTTTATTTTTCAGCTTTTTTTTTTTTTTTAGGTATTTTCAGCTTAGTTTAGCCTTTTTTTTGTGCTAATTTTTGACTTTTGTGCTTCTTGAATAATTTCAAAGTTTTCTGCAATTTTCAGCCGCATAACTGTCCACCTATACGACTGCTATAAGAATACCACTGCGCTTCACTATGTGCTGAAAATACTGATGAAACATGTGATTCTGAAGCAAGTAAAAAAAAAAATCTTTAATTGTTAAGGCAATTATCAAACAGAAATAAATGTAGAATCCTATCGGACCTTAAACAGGAATGGTTTAGATTCAAAGTCAGACTGTGAGGAAAAAAATGGATAACGAACAAACCATTTATAACCTTTATTATTATTATTATTATTATTATTATATTATTATTATCATTTTAAATTATTATTATGATTATGAATATTACTGTCCCAGAGCAGAGCAAATAGTGGTATTGGAAACATTCTCCGTCCATCAGACCGGTTTATCTTGTGAGCATGAAGACCGGTGTGGGTGTTTCAAAATGTGGGTGGGAAAGGTGAAGCAACCACACCTGCCTCCACCCTCATTTGCCCCACTCTAGGCCCTTGAGCAACGCCCTGAACCCCCACCCTCTGCTCCCCCAGGTGCCCTAGATGGCAGCTCTCTGCTCCACACGGAGGGGCTGTGGTAGCTCTGTGGTCTGTGGTTGTGTCAGTAAAGACATCCGGCGTAAAAACAATCACCAAGTCTTCATGCGAGTGGCCATGGCCACCATTAGCCACCCCCTGGCTCCACCACTGTATCTGATTGCTCTCCTGAGGATCTGTAAGTCTGCACCGCCTCAGACAAGTTACTAACTTTATTCTTCTCCACAGTGTAACTCCTCCACACTTGAACATCTTGCACAAAAAGTTTACTTGCATCCCCTGTTGAACTCCCATAAGCATTACAACCATTATATGTGAAGGGGACATGTCCTCCCCACATTCAAAAAACGTTCATTTGAACACCAACCCCCCCCCCCCCCCCCCCCAAAAAAAAATAAAAAAAAATTTTACCATGAAACATTAGTTCAGTCGGCGCAGTTTCTCTTTCTTCGTGAACAAATCCATTCCACTTGATTAACAGGAGAATAGTCAAACCACTAAAAGTCCACTCCAGGTTTTCCTGGTTACCTCCAACTCTCCAGCAGCCTGCAGTGTTTCTATGCGTCTCCTCCTGCCTTGGCAGAAAATGTGCACAGGTGGAGGAGATGGAGACACCTCTGTGTTGTTCGCTCACCAGTTTAGCGAGTTTAATGCAGGCAGTTGTTGACCGGGGGGGGGTTGATCATAAACATATTTTCATGTTAGGAGGATGCTTGAGAGGAGCGCTACGTAGCATCTTAGCTTAGCATTACCTGTGAGGCTGTAAGACGCTGCAGGTGTAAGAGACGCTGTGTGTTCAGGTGCATTAAAGTTGTAATTTCTTTAAAACCTCACACCTTATTGTCCTCAAGCTTCTTGAGAAACATCTTTTAGATGAGTAGTGTTGAACACAAGTAAAAAAAGTCCAGTGGTGATGTTTTTATTTCTCTATAAACACAAATAGTGCCGACCTGACGCTCTGTATTAAAGTGTACTAAATTTGAAATGTCTTTAAAACCCACAGCTGAATTTACACAAACTTGGTGAGAAACATGTTTTAAATGTGTGGAATTAAAGGAAATCGAGGTGAAATGCTGCTTTTTTTGTGCACTAGTGAACACCTTTTTTATGCATGCACGCTCACATGCACACACACACACACACCTACAAACATCATTGTGTCCCCCCCACATTACGGATGCTTCTGACGCCCTTGTGAACTCCAGTCTAGAAAATCGTCTTGAAAACTACAAACATTCACTGTCCGGTCCTTGAGCGACGGACGACATCAGGTTGTTTCTCTGGACTCCTGCAGAGCAACGTGAGTCTCATTTTCAGGAGGTGTAGCTGCCGGCTGATCCAAACCTTGAATCAAAGATTAACGATTTAATAACTTAAGATTTTGGATGAATTTGGGCTCAGTAAGATGACATTAATGTTCATTTATCTCTCCTGTTAGTTTGTACGTATAAATGAGATTTGTGCGCGACTGATCTGTTCAGATCTCTGCACGCTCGTTCAGCCGTTCGCTCGAGCTGATTTCAGCTCTCCGGCTGACCGTCGTGCATGTGGCGTCCATTTGGCAGCGCACGTGTGTTTGTGTGCTGCAGCAGGGCGTGTTCCACGGCCGCTTGCCCAAGCAGGTATTGTGTCGAGCAAAGGTTGATTTCC